AAAAAAAAAAAAAACAAAAAAAAACAATAGGCCAGGCTGGCTGGGCAACAAAGAGAGATTCTGTCTCTAATAAGTAAATGAATAAAACAATAAAGTGGGCGGGCATAGTGGTACCTGCTAGCAACTTGGGAGGCTGAGGCAAGAGGATTGCTTGAATTCAGGAGTTTGAGACTACAGTTTGTTATTGTTGCATCTGTGACTAGCTACTGCGCTCCAGCCTGGGCAACATAGTGAGACCCCATCTACAAACAAACAACAAAAACAAGAATCTCTCTGAGCCTACTCTGGTTCAGAAGGCTGCACATTAAATAAAATAAATATAAAATAAAATAAACCAATAAAGTTACTTGCCTGAGGCTGCATACCAGCAAAACCAGGATAAGACCCTAGGTCTTCTGACTTTCAGTTTAATGGTTCTTTACTCCACCGTCTTTTATTTTTTTTCATAGACTTGGAACGCCAGTTGGAAGAGCAAAAGAAGCAAGCTCAGGATCACAGGCTGAAATCCCAGACAGTTCAAAATGTGGTACTGATGCCCGTGAGCACTCCAAAGCCTCCAAAAAGACCCCGACTCCAGCGGCCCGCCTCCACCACTGTCCTAAGCCCTTCTCCTCCTGTCCAGCAGCCTCAATTCACGGTCATCTCACCCATCACCATTACCCCGGTGGGTCAGTCATTTTCCATGGGCAATATTCCAGTGGCCACCCTCAGCCAGGGCTCCAGTCCTGTGACTGTCCACACACTGCCTTCTGGCCCTCAGCTCTTCCGCTATGCCACAGTGGTCTCCTCTGCCAAGAGCACCTCACCAGACACAGTGACCATTCACCCTTCATCTAGCTTGGCGCTGCTAAGCTCTACTGCCATGCAGGATGGGAGTACCCTGGGCAACATGACCACTATGGTGAGCCCTGTGGAGTTGGTGGCCATGGAGTCTGGCCTGACCTCGGCAATTCAGGCGGTTGAAAGCACCTCAGAGGATGGGCAGACCATCATTGAAATTGACCCAGCCCCAGACCCAGAGGCTGAAGATACTGAGGGCAAAGCAGTCATCTTGGAGACAGAGCTGAGGACTGAGGAGAAAGTTGTAGCTGAGATGGAAGAACATCAGCATCAAGTCCACAATGTGGAGATTGTGGTCTTAGAGGATTAACTGGGGATCTCTGGGTCAGGAGTTATGCTTTGGTTTGGAATTTTAATTATTTGTTTATTTTTATCATTGTCCCACTCATTTCCACATAGGATCCTTTTTTTTTAAGACAAAATCTTGTTGTTGTAACTGAAAATGTTGGGTTCCTCCCACCCTGTCACTGAAAAATGGACAAAACAAACTGTCCTTCTGGAAGTTGAGAGTAGGTCACTCAATGTCCTAATCATTTTATACTCAGAAAATACTTTCCATTAGGGAAGGTGTCAAGATAACCAGAAACTCTGTCCAGAAAACCATCTCCAGGTTTGTCTGTCTGTGTAAGCATGTGGTTTTATTCTTATAAAGATGCATTGACCAAACTCTGGAACACAGATCTGACACTGGAAGGCAACTCATTCGCATATGGATGCAGAAGGGCACTTTATGTTACATCCTGGAAAGGGCCCTCAGAGGCCAGTGTAAAACTCTGAAACAAAAGGAAGTCAAACTCTGCTTGGAGGGGAAGGTAGCATGTCAGCACTAACTTAAAAAGGGAAGTGCTTTGGCGAGGATGAGGCAAGGAAATGATCTTTCTTTCAGAAATGCAACTGATGCCTCTTGAGATCTCCAAGGGTTACTACCATGGATGTCATTTTGAGAAGAGGCCAGTGATAAGTGAAAGGGTACATCTCCACAGAACAAGTGGCAACAGTGGCCTGTGACTTTGCAGAAATAGAAATCTAAGGGTGCCACATTTGTGCTTTGGGGTTCAAGATGATTGCTCATCTTGCCTCACGCTTTGTCAAAGCACTTACCCTCTAAACTAGGATCAGTCCATTCATTTGCAAACTGTGTGATATGATATACATACTCTGGTTCTTGGATTGTGGTTCTTGGATTGTGGCTGTTGTGGGCGTAGGGCTCCAAGGCCATTATTTTTATTGCATGACTCCAGGAACAGGGGAATTCCTTATCCAGACCAGCTGCCATTTTTGGTGGGGCTATTTTTTGGCTTTGGAACCAAAAGCAGCCACTCATTTGGTGCTTCCTCTTGTTCTACCCTCCATCCCTCGACTCTTAATGGCATCTGTCTCCTGGATCCCACGCTCTTCAGCTTTTTGGCTGATTTGGAGAATAGTGACAGGTGTCTGCCTGCCTTCATTCCCCTTTTAGATTCATTTATACCATTTATACCACAGATGTTTCTGTGAGATCTTGAGCTCATAAAAAGCTTTAGGCTTGGCAGGGAAGACTCAACACCTCCAGCCAGCCTTTCTTGAGGCGCCAACTAGATGTCTCCTCCTGAGTGAGCTGGACTCCCTGGGAAAGAAGTGTTGTCTACAACATTATATTATAGGAAATGTACCAGGAATGTCAATAATAATGTTTGGGGGGGGTGTTTTTTTTTTAAGTGTTGTTTGTATATTTAGAGCTGGGCCACTTTCCATGCTGTGATTCCTTCTCTTTGTCCCTCTTCAATGTTTGAGGCAAGAGTGGACCTGGTTTTTATTTCTTTGATTGCATTGTTTACTATACTAGGAAAAATATAGGGAAACTGCAGACAATTTAAAGGAAAAATAGGTCAAAAAAGAAAGCACACACCTTAGGAGTGGAAGGAATTTTTATTAAAAACAAAACTTTGACCTGTAGTTTCTTTTTTTTTTTTAAGAAAGCACCTACCTGAAGCCATGTTTCTTCCAACATATGTTGGAAACTTTGTCAAGAAGTGACAGTTGTATCCTGCCATCCCTCAGATAGCTGTATGTAGCCAGAGAAGTCCTCTAACTTAGAAGAGTCACTCTTAAACACCTGAAGAGTGAGATTTATGACCCCCAAACAGTTGTAGATTTTAGCTTTTAAAATATTTGGGGTTTTATTTTTCTTTTCAAAATATCTAATAGACTTAGCAATCAATTTAGAACAAATATTTGACTCTTTATTGTTAGTGAGGGAAGTGGCTTTTATTTCTTGCTTCTTTAGGTTTTCTGTTGGTACATAAAAACATTTCTGTTTAAGACTGAAACTACTACTTGAACCTAGAAAAGCACATCTCATCCCTACTGTGGTTTTTAGGGACACTTTTCTCTTTCCTAGAGGTGAGAGGACCAATGTAATATAGGAGAAGAGCCGTAGAGAATACCAACATGCTAGCTCAGCTTTCCTTTCTTCCTCTATCAGAGCTATTGGTAGTGTTTTAAAGTAGTGTGAGCGTCATGCTTCCAAGTCAAAAGTTCTCCTCTTTCTCAAGACACGGCCTGTTTACTTTCACTATATGAATATTCCAGCTGGTGAAATACATGAATTTTGTTGTTTTCCTGGTCTTCCAATAGCCTATCATTATTGCTGATGCTATGGCACCTATTGTTGAGTGTGGGTTATCTTAAAGGGGGTCTAGATTATCTTAAAGGGGGTGAGACATATGCAAGTCATTGGTGTGTGCATAAGCAGTTGCAGTGAATCACTCCTCAAGCTGACTTGGAAGTCACCATTTACTTTTCTATTCATTAATTAAATAAACATTTTTAAGTACCATCTATTTGCCAGCTTTGTGCTCGGCACTGGCAGTACAGACAGGAAGTATACATAGTTCTTGCACTCCAGATGTCTGGAGTTAAGAATTATATATATCAATATAATTAGTTTCCTCTGTAATCCTATGTATTTTATTTTATGCATTGAAAAACATTATTTAAGAATTGGTCCTTAGCCAGGCTCGGTGGTTCAGCCTGTAATCCCGTGCTTTGGGATGCTGAGGTGAGTGGATTGCCTGAGCCCGCGGGTTCGATCCCTGCCTGGGCAACTTGGCGAGACCTCATCTCTACAGTAAATAAAAAAATTAGCTGGGTGTGGTAGCGTGCGCCTGTAGTTCCAGCTACTTGGAAGGCTGAGGCAGAAGGATCGCCGGAGCCCAGCAGGTCGAGGCTGCGGTGACCGGGTCTGGACGACAGAGTGAGACTCCAACTCAAAAAAAAAAAAGAATTGGTCCATAGGTTTCAGCAGACTACCAAAGACACCAAAACTTAAGAAACCCTCCTCTAGTGAGATACTAAAATAGATTATAAAATTGAGGTAAGTGCAGTAATATGACTGGGAGTATAGGGGTAAGTCAGCAAACATGGGAGAGCTTCCTAGAGTAGGTTGTACCTAAGCTGATTTAGGAGATACCATTTTCAGCTAGTTTTATCGTATTCCTTTATCTGCAAGGAATTGGGCTTGTTTATTCACAAGAAAAAACAATCTTTTCTAGTCTGTTGCTGCTTCTGCCTACAGAGCCAGGCAGTCAGCAGTTCAGGCTGTCCTGTCTTGGCAGTTTCCCTGTTTGGTCCTTGCCTTGTTCTCTTCCCTTTCTCAATTTTTAGGCTCCCTGCCTCCAAACAAACAGTCATTCCAAAGTAAAAAATGGACAATAAACATGAATATTCAAGACTCAAAGTCACGTCACATGAAGGCTCTTTTGCACCTCTGTCCACATTAGGGAAGGAAGACCAATGTTAATTCAAATATCTGGAAAATTAACATTCAGATGGTTCTGACATCTGTGAGTGGTACCATTTTATCCCATTTCAGGAAAGGTATTAAAGGGAAGTCCCTATGGTGGAGAGTATTGATTATGAAGATAGTAAAAGCCAAGCATGAAATGTAGAACTACTAGTTCATTGAGTTAAAACTGATCCAGGTTTTAGTACTATAAAGGAGGTGGAAAAGACAAAGAAAAGGTTGAATTTTGAAAAGAGGCATGAGGAGCTGGGCTTGGTGGCTCAGCCTGTAATCCTGCGCTTTGGGAGGCTGAGGTGAGTGGATTGCCTGAGCCCGCGGGTTCGAGACCGGCCTGGGCAACTTGGCGAGACCTCATCTCTACAATAAATCAAAAAATCAGCCGGGCATGGTAGCACATGCCTGTAATTCCAGCTACTCGGAATGCTGAGATGGAAGGATCGCGGGAGCCCAGCAGGTCGAGTCTGTAGTGGCCGAGAGAGGTCACAGCACTCCAGTCTGGGCGACAGAGTGAGGCTCCAACTCAAAAAAAAAGAAAATAGGCATGAGGTTATGATTCACCTTGGGCAATGCTCCCCAGAAGTAGTCCTCTCTGATATAAAAAGTCAGACGTGGCCAGGTGCGATAGCTCAGTCTATCATCACAGCACTTTGGGAGGCCAAAGCAAGAGAATTGCCTGAGCCCAGGGGATCGAGACCAGCCTGGGCAACTTGGTGAGACCTCGTCTGTACAACAAATCACAAAAATTAGCCAGGTGTGGTGGTGCCTGCCTGTAGTTCCAGCTAGTTGGAAGACTGAGGTGGAAGGATCACCTAAACCCAGCAGGTAAGGGCTGTGGTGGCTGTGAGCGTGCCACTGCACTGCAGTCTGGGCGACAGAGTGAGACTCCAACTAAAAAAAAAAAGTCAGACACTAGCCTAGCTCCTGCATTGTTAGACAACTTTCCTAGTACAATTGATTACTTTCCTGGGAGAGAGGCAGATTCTTTACACTAGGAAATTCCTCCCTGGGAAATTTTTGTGCAGTCTGCAATGTACTGCCAGAACAACCAAGGTTATTGGGGACTCTAAGGGTTCAGTTCTGCTAGATTTGTCCCTACAATTTATCTTCTTATGCAGGCCTATTTGAGTCCTTTCCAGATTTCCTTCCCAATCCTGAGACACCTTTCTTAGCCCTGGGTAATAGAATTTGACTATTTATAGAAGGTTCTATTTTCCTCATACTCTCTTATTCACACTCCTACTTCATCTTTCCTCTCTAGCTCTCAGGATCCATAGTTCCCCACTTCGGCTATGTCATAACTCTTTCAGCTCTTGAGTCAATCATTTCTTCATAGCTCAAAGCACCTCCAGGCTCCAAATCTGAGTATACATTCATAGACTGCTGTCTTCACTAGCTTTAGTTTTGTTTGAGTCGGAGTCTCACTGTCACCTAGGCTGGAATGCAGTGGCAGGCTCACGGCAACCACAGCATCGACCTAGTGGGCTCAGGCAATCCTTCAGCCTCAGCCTTCCAAGTAGCTGAGACCACAGGCACATACCACCACGCCTGGGTAATTTTTTTATTTATTGTAGAGATGAGGTCTTGCCAAGTTGCCCAGGCTGGTCTCAAACCCCTGAGCTCAGGCAATCTCTCACCTCAGTCTCCCAAAATGCTGGGAATACAGGTGTGAGCCACCATGCCCGGCTGCTTTAGCTATTTTAATAGCCTTTCTTTTTTTTTTTTTTTTTTTTGAGTTGGAGTCTCACTCTGTCGCCCAGACTGGAGTGCAGTGGCCCCTCCCAGCCACCACAGCCTCGACCTGCTGGGCTCCGGTGATCCTTCCGCCTCAGCCTTCCAAGTAGCTGGAACTACAGGCGCGCGCTACC